AAGGATAAACTTGGGAGAAAATAACCCCAAAACCCCAAAACCCCAAAACCCCTCAACTTTAAATGTAAGTGATTTACAAAGTAATTAAAATATAAAATCCTAATTAAAAGTTACTTTAAATTCAAGTTGATTGATTTCAAAAAGTGTGTAGTTTAGCATAGTTGTAGACCCTTCTCTCTAAATTCTGTATCAGTTGCTGGGACTCTGCAGAAATTCCTAATATTCTTTCTAGTTCAACTGAAATCTCTCTTAGTACAGCGTATTCCTGATGATCAAGGTGTTTATCAAACTCCTTATTTTCAAATACCTGCTTACTTAACTGCTCTAGAAAAGTTTACATATATTTTGTTGATTTTTCCTTAATTTGATCAGCCTTGTAGTTTCTCAATGAGTATAGCATCAAAGCTAATCTGATTTATGCTTCAACTTAATCTTCAAATGGAGCTGGTTTTAGTATTTGTTGCGAAAGCTCAAACACTATTAGCTTACAAGTGTCAGCATCAAAGATTTAGCTTTCATTTTACTGCTTTAATAATTACAAAAACTCTAAATCATCTTTTATTTTCTTATCGTTAATAAGCTGGATCTAAGAAGGACTGTTTTAACTTTGAAGTTGTTTTCTCAAGGCAGCCTACTCTAAATTATCTATTTATGAATCACCTTTGGATGAGATAGCCTTTTGAAGTAAAACTCTAATTACTTGATTATACCTTTTCAAGCACTCAGCTTCTAATTCTTGATTTTGAGATTTTAGATTGCCTAACTTTCTCATAAATACACTGACATCTGTGTAGGTTGGCTATCTACACCTTGTAAACTTTGATTTCTTCAACTACTCTGATAATATAGCCACTAGATATTCAAAATAATCCTTAGTGATTAGTTCATCAGGAACTAAATTAAATAATTCAAGTACCTAAGCAAGATTATATTCTTAGAAAATGTAGTTTAATCCTTGAGAAGTTCCAGCTAAGTGATTGTTGAACTCTCTGATTTTCTGGTTTAGCTTTTCCTCAGGGATTAAATCTTTAAGATTGTGCTTACATAGAGTATATAGCATCTATAGATTCAAATAATCCTCGTGTAGAGCGATTTCCACATCTATTACATTTTCAACTTAATCTTTAAGATATTCAATCATTAGTTGGAATTAAGCGTATTTGTTAATTTTCTGTAATCTATCCAACTGTTCCTTGTTCAAGTAATTTTTGTCTAGAGTAAGATCTGTATATCCTGCATGCATTAGATAGTAAAGGATTTATATTATGTGATTGAACTCCATCTCATGATACTTCATCAGCACTAAATTCGACAGCGAAAGCCAATAAGATGGGTAAGGGAGTGAAACTGTGTTAGCATGCCTGGTTATCATAGCAACAGTCTCCATGCTTGAAAAGTATTGTAGTTCTTTGCTTACAATAGAGTTGAATACAAAAGTTACCTCTTCACTATTGAATTCAAACAGAAATACTAAATTAGCGATTTTCTCAAACATAGTAACTATCTTCTCATGCAGTTCCTGTTCTTCAAATGTATTCTCTTTGAATTCTCTGAATATCTTTTCTACCTCGACCACAGACATGAATTCAACATCAGAGTCTATCTATTCCTCTTCACTCGCTTCATCTAATCTGTCTCCTAACTATCCTACACCATCTTCTATACCATCATTTATTCCCATAATCTTTCTACTTTACTTCTCAAGATACTCTTTTAATTTGGTCTACTCATCTTTGCCTATATCTGAAAATTCTTCTTCATCCTCCTTGGCTATGGATTATTGTGCTTGAAACTTAATATTTTCAATCCTTCTTTGCTCATCTGTCATATTAAGAATTCGTTTTAATTCATCTGGATCAGGAATATTTACGAATTATCTGCTAGGTATACCTAGCAAACGATTCTTATTTGCAATGAGTGGTAGTAATCTAAATTGATCAACAAAGTACTTTTGCTTATTAAAAAGTGATCTAAGCTAAAATAATTTCATGGTTTATAAAATAATTATATACAATCTATTATAAGTTTTATTATTTTTACAATTAACTTAACTTTTAATGAATTGGGGTTTTGGGGTTTTGGGG